TGTATCAGTTAGTTTTCTCATCCTGCTGTTCAAATACCTGAAAAAAGAAGTTTCAGGAAGGTCAGGTTCCTCAGTTTAAGGGTACAGCCATTGTGGTATGGAATGCATGGTGGTCATGTTGCATCTGTAATCAGGGTCAATATTAACTCTCACACCAACTCTTACACCTAGTCTTGTATGACTAGGCTCCATGTAACATCTAAGATGTCGTCTGTAATTTAAGGGATTTGTTGTTATAAGTGCAAATTTGGGTGGGCACCCTATGTCTGGCATTCCTGCCTCAAGGCTGTGAAGGCCACAGGGCCTTGGCTTTCTTCTTACCCTTCACACTACTTTTTGTCACAGTAACAAGGATCCTCAAATATAGGTGCCTTCAATTTTTTTTCCACTTAACACAGACTTAGCTATGATTCAGGCAAGACAAAGAATCACCCTATGCCCATCATAAAAGCACAATATTTGATTTATGAAAGCTTGTATTATCTTTGTGTAGGATTTTTCCTGCCTTGTTTAGTTAGATTATAATAGATTAGGGGTCATTAATTATCAAGATTCAATGAAGCTGCCCATCTTCCAGGTGGAGTTCCTTCTATTTTCTAGACGTTGTGGAAGCTCCTGGGAAGCAGCAGACATATACCTTTCTTTGGAAGGGGCCAGGGGCTCTTTAGGGTTCACTTTGAGGATCTGGTTTAGTTTGGTGCCACTGTTGCTGCCAACACTAATGAATGGAATATCTTTAGGTATGGCTCATGAGCGCATGTGTCCTTTGTGATCTTTAGGAATTGTTACAGCTTAGGACTCCTTGGCAGTCCCTCTGGCTTTCATAGGGAACTAAGGAAGGTTGTTTGATTCCTTAATCCTTTTAACCCTTGCTGGGCCAGGCACTAAGTATCAGTGTGGGGCATCTCATGTCTTCTAGTGGGAGAGAAGGAGTGTGGAGAGGGAGGAGAAGGGGTACTGAACTGGGCAATGGGATGGGTCTTTAAAGAGGTGATGTTAATCTCTGAAGTTCTCTTTAGACCAAAATAGATCATCCCACTATCACCTACTTCAGGGGAATTAGCATTTTCACAGTGGTGAGGCAGCCAGATATGATGGGTGTGGTAGAACTGAACTGAACTTATGGGAGATCGCTCAATGAGAAACCCTGTAGTCTTAGAATAGATGCAAATAGAGGTACCTTAGAGCACACCGAATAGCCACTCTCCCCAGAAGACCAGTCTTGAATGCTCTGTGAAGACTTCAGGAGGTGCAAACCAGCATCTACTCTCCGGGGCATCTGATTGGCTCTACTCTGTCCCAACAGGTAGGACTTGGTTTGAGTGTTTCTCGGGAGAAGTAAATGTCTAAAACATTTTTCAGGAGTCCAGGGTGACAGAGGAAAGACTCCTGGGAGTTCATCCTTGTTACGTTTATTATCATATAAATGACTAGAGAGGGAAGGTGAAGCTTTACCATCCTGTGGAAGCTGTAAAATTTTGCAGGAGGGCAAGAGTCCCAGCCCCCAAGCAACAAGATGTGCTGGCATCAGGGTGGTTCTGGGTGTTTCTTGGTGACATGACACTATCATGAAGCTGCATGCTGAGGTCACCTGTCCCCATATGTGCTCTCATACATTATTGGTTTAGAGTAATAAACACCTGCCCATATTTATACAAATTAATGGGATTTGAGGACTTGGTTTTTACAAAAACTCCTCAGAAGATTTGGTACCTAGTTGCCTGCTGACTTTGAAACATAGGAGCTTAGGGAACTTATCAAATTCAATCAGAAAGAGATCCTGGTGTGTGTGTGTGTGTGTGTGTGTGTGTGTGTGTGTGTGTGTGTGTGGTGTGTGTGTGTGTGTGGTATATGTGGGTGTATGTCTATGTGTGTGATGGGTATGTTTTCCAGAATGTAGCTTACCTTAGTAATTTTACTGAAAAGTCCCCTCTACTTGAGTGATAATAGAGTAAATATAATTATGTCTTTCCTCCAAGGCAGTCAGAATATATGCAGCTCTAAGAAAAAACCATAAAAGATCCAGAAGGGGGTTGAAAATGATTCTCACCAGTGCTTTAATTTTTATAAAAGCAGAATTTCTGCAAGCAGGAATGAGTAGATCAGATTTAACCTTATCTCTGAGTAAAGCACATGCATACAGGATGGGTTTCTAATCCCTGGGACTGAACAGCTGACAAGTCAACATGAAGAAGGAAGGCTTTATTCTGGTCTCAGCTGAAGGAAGCAGGCTGTCATGGTTGGGGAAGACATGTCAGCAGAAGCAGGTCAAAGCTGTGATAGTAAGAGTATGAGGTAGTTTGCTTTTATTGGGTGGATCAGGAAGTAGAGATCTAACAGGAAGTGAAGGCAGGCTACAGAAACCTCAAGGGCAGCCCCCTAGCATCCCATTTCCTCCAGCAAGACTCCACCTCCAAAAATTGCCCCAAGTACTCAAACTCATGAGTCCATGGGGGACATGTACCATAATAAATCCCTTGAAATGAATCCCCCATGAGTCATACTGTCTGTATCCCTTGCAGAGCTATAAAAGGAAGAGTGTGTGTGGGAAAATGAATTTGGGATTGATCTCATGAGAAATGGAAGAACCTTTGTTTGTAATTCTCAGAAAATAGGTTCTGTAGCTACAAGTGAGTGGCCATGTATTGCAGTCAAGAGTGCATGTGTATGGCATTAGGCTAATAGGGGCTGAAATCCAGGCTTGCCTCATTTACAGTGGATCTGGCAGGTAAAACTTACCCTTTGGAAACTAATGGACACCATCCCTAAATGCAGAACATCATAAACATGTCACAGGGCTGAAAAGAAGAGTGGGATCATAGAAGGAAGATTCTGTAAGTGTAGGCAGAATCATTGTGACCACTCAGATGTCCACATCCGCTCACAAACTGCTAAAGGCCATTTGAGATACTTAGTCAATTTAACTGCAACCAAAGAGTCTCAGTGAGGGATTGATCTAGATTTGGTTGGGGTGTGTGTGTGTGTGTGTGTGTGTGTGTGTGTGTGTATGGTGTGGTATGTGCATGTACTTGTGTGTGATGTATGTTCATGCATCTATGTATATGTGTATGGGGTCTGTGTGTATGTGCTCACGAGCATGCAAGTGCACACATGTGTGGTCGTGTGTGTCTCTGTATGTATATGTGGTCCATGTGGTGTGTGTGTGTGTGTGTGTGTGTGTGTGTGTGTGTATGTAGGATTCTCTTGATCCTATTGATTGGTGTGAATAGGCCCAGTCTGAAAGTGAGTGATACCATCCCTGAGTTTAGGGCACTAGAACATGTAAGAGTAGAGAAATCTAGTTGAACAGTAAGTGATCTCGCCTTTGTTCTTCCTCTGCTTTTGACTATTGATATGACTATCTGCCTCTGGTTCCTGCCTTGACTTCCCTGAAATGATAGACTATAACCTGGAATTGAAAGCCAAATAAATCCCTTTCCTTGTAAGGTTTTTGTTGTTGTTGTTTCATCAGGATATTATGTGGCAGCAACAGAAGTGAAACTAGAACACTTTCCAGGCAGAGGGTGGGCATGAGCCCACCGGCCTTGAGCCTTCCTGGATACAGGCCTGCTTGCTTTGTACCCATTAAGGACTGCTGGGTTCCTGATTCCACCTCCTGCTCTCATACAGCAGGCTGAAAAGAGTTCAAAACACACAGCCATGGAAGCATCGTGGCTCCAGTTTCCTTCTGGAAATAGAAGCAAAGCTCGTGGTATCAGATGCCCTGGAGAAGCAGACCTGGGAGAAGAGGAACATCTGATTCCCAGAATAGACCACATACAGTTGATGGGAGATTATGAAACGTCTTACTAGGGCATCCCTGGAGAATACAGAGAATACAGTACATCTGTCTCCACTGGCTCCACCCTGGCCTCCACTAGTTCCTAAAAGAATGCTAATCCAAAATTGGGTCTGAGACTTTGTGTTAAGGCTTCTCCTCTCTCTCTCTCTCTCTCTCTCTCTCTCTCTCTCTCTCTCTCTCTGAGGGAAGTCTTCAAATATGCACACATTTGCTCACTCAAGATCCAGACAGACTTAGTGGTACTCTGTTAATTCTGGGAAACTCCAGGATCCCCTTCTGGGGTGGAGTCTTAGGAAGACTGGGAGATTTCCCTGTCTTTAGAGCCCAGGAACCTAGTATAGGGATTTTCCTTTGAGCAGATAGCCTGGCATTTGTTGCTTCCCCTTTATTGCTAAAAGAAATGTTCAGTGGGGTGGCTGTTCAAGTGCCATTAAAAAAAAAATCCTGTCAAAAAGCAAAGTAAGGGAACAAAGGACTTGAAGGACTTGTTAGGCTTATAATTCCAGGTTTCAGTCTATTATTGTGAGGAATTTAAATTCAAATGCAGGCAGTTTGGGATCCTTGCCTGCTTGTGTATGTGGCACTTAGCTAGCTTCTATTTTTTTAAATGTGTGTGTGTGTGTGTGTGTGTGTGTGTGTGTGTGTGTGTATGTATGTATTTGTCTACATGTGTATACTACATGCATGCTTGGTGCCCGTGAAGGCTAGAGGAAAGTATCAGATCCCTTGCAACTTGAACAACAAACTGTTGTGAGCTACCACTGAGCTTTGGGAGCCAAATCTGAGTCCTCTGCAAAAATAGCCAGTGTTCTTAACGTGTTCAAGACCCGGCCATGAAATGGTACCAGCCACCTTCAGTGTGGGCCTTCCTCCTTCAATTAACAATCAAGACAGCCCCTCAGAGACATGTCCATGTGCCAGCCTGACCTAGATACTTCCTCAGGAAGACTTCCTTCCCCAGTGATTCTAGGTTGTGTCAAGTTGACAACTAAAGCATACTGATGTTTTGTTTCTGCCCTGTTTAACTCTTGCTGAGACCAGCTGTCGTCTGGTCAATGGGAAATCCACAGTATTTGTCATAGGCCCTGATTTGGAGGACGGAACAATCAGGAAACTATTCTGGATCTACCTCAGGGTTGCTCCATACATTGTGCTCTTCTGTATCTTCTGAAATCAATCATCTTTCTGTTTCTTCCAGATAACTTGTTCAAACCCAAAGAAAGATGCATTTCAGAGAAGGAGATGCATATGAGATCTAAAAGGTATTTGGCTCTTGTGGGAGGTACAGAAAGAGCTGGGGAGGGAGGCTTGAAGGGCCAGGATGCTGCCCCTTGGGCCACGGATTCCAGGCCCACATTTAAGGGCTGAGGTCTTCTTGGCTGCCAATCTGAAAACCTGGCTGAGGTGAGCAAAGTTGCCAGACTGTGCATTGGAATGTTTGTGCTGCTCTTGGACCAACCTTCGGAAAGTGGTGGGTCTTGGATTCAGGGGCGGCCTGTAATTGGTCCCTGAGTGATCAGCGGATTCTGAACTGAAACTCTTTCGATGCATTTGCCTCGTGGCTCTGGGCAGCAGCCATGTGCGGCTGCACCTTTGAAAGTAATTTTACGAGGAGGAGAGAACCCGTTTCTCTGGAGGGCCTTCACTGAGGCGGTCCTGAGGAAAAGCTTCCAAACTGGAAGCCAGCAGAGCATGGGAGCCAGGGGGGGCCCAGGGGGGCCCCAAACCAGCTTTTCTGGCATGTCTGTCTCTGATAGTCCTGGCGGGGGCCACCAAGGTTCTCCCTGCTCTGCCTGGCTAGTCACTATCCGAGTCCCGCTAACTCTTACCACCTCGGGGCACACAAAGGCTACCATTCTTTCTGGGACATGGCCTCTTAACCAGGACACACAAGCTCAGCATGGTTGGCCATGTTCACGCATGTAAAATGCCACTAAGCTGTAATAGAGTGCCTAGCCCTGGGAGAGATTATAGTAATTAAATCAAATTGATAGTGCACTCAGAGACACACCACTGAAATAGGAAGAATAATTTTGCCCCCACTCCAGACCCTAAATCTCTGCTTTTATCGTGATTATGTTGTTTCCATGATAATTAAGTAACTTTGGTTACCTACAGGGAACCTCTTTGAAAGTATTAAAATACGAATTAGGGGCATACCATTAATGATATGGCTCCCAACACTCTAACCGGGGCTTATAAAAGGTCCCTCCATTTGAAGACTTGCTGTTTCATAAATGAAAAGTTGTATATACCTTGCAACAAAAGCATTCTCTTCAATTTAGTGAAGAAAAAAATAAATAAAAATTAAAAACAAAACAAACAAACAAACAAACAAACAAAAAAAACCCTTTCCTTATTGGTCCCCAAGCCTAAAACTGCTATTATAAGGCCTTGCCGATCAAGCAGTTTAAATAATGCACTTTGAGGCATCATTGGTAGGCAGAGGCTGCCTGGCATACATCTGAAGAAGAAACTGATGTTCAAGGAGGACTAGTGAGCTACGTGGCCTTTATCTGTTCTCCTCAGGAAAACCAAGCAATTGGACCTATTTGCTCTGTGGCACATGCCTGGCTGGGCTCTGACCTGGCTCCCATGGGCACCTGGAATGGCTTTTTTCATGTTCCTTGACATGGATTGTGTTGGTTATATTTTCATTTAAATCAAGCAGTAGAGTAAAGCTGATGTCCCCTCAAGACCAATTAGCCAGCTGCCCCTCCCTTAGTCCTAGACCTACCTGCTAAGATGCCCACCATCTGTCCCTTTCTCTTTCCCTTCAAAGCCTCCTGTTTGTACATTTAAGCAGACACTGGTCTTTACCCTCATTAGCTTACCATTTCCTGGTGTGACCTGTGAGCTTTCCCAAAATGCAGATTTCTGTCCTCCTTGCTTTTGACTGCATATACTATTATATATCGGGATCTCACCAGAGGAAATAGTGAAGGGCCAGAGGTGGGACATGCAAGCTTTTGTTTCCACTTCCCAGTTGAGTTGGACAAACAGCTCAAGGAGAGGCAGTCTCTGATCTGTCCTTTCAAGTGTTTCAGGGCAAGCTCCCCTGTGAACTTCTCTCCTGGTCCTTGGGGAGTAAGCAACCTTCCAGATAAGGGTCCCTTAGCCCCTGCTGGCAGCCCAGAAGTTCATTATTTATGTGGGGACAAGGGCCAAATATTTAAATCCGTACTGTGTTTAGAATCAGCTTAATCAGACATGCCATAGGCTAAGAGTAAACAAACATGTTCTTAATGTTTATTTCCAGTACACAATTCTTGCTACTGCCATCCAATCTGTTGTTTCTCATCAAATCACAGGAAGTCAAAACTTGGATGGCCAAAAGGGGGATATATAGGGAATGTTGCCCCTCAGAATGGCAAATCAGTAGGTTGAAACCCCTCCCCCCTTCTTACAGGTAAATCTTTATCACTGCAAATATAGGATGAGAAGTGACTCCCACATAAATACCCGGTCTCCCCAGCTTGCCTGCTACACTGCCCAGGATACATCATTGAGACACTGTCCCCAGAGAGTCTATGGCCTGGGACCTCAGAGAAGATCTATTTTGTTTTTCAGGGCCTCTATGGGTTCAATAAGGTTTATAAATATAGTTGTATCTTGTTTTTTATTTTTTAATACATTGAAATTGACAAGTAAAAGAGCCCCAAGAGAAGGCACTAGAATCAGACACTCGCTCATTCATTCACACAGTCAGGGATCCCATAATAATACTGACTGAAAGCTACAATATGTACCTAGAAGAAGACCTGGTGTGGACCCTTGCTGCTTCAGTCTCTGAGTTCATATGGGCTTTGCTCAGTTGATTTAGAGGGCCTTGTTCTAGTGTCCTCCATCCCTTCCGGCTCTCACACTCTTTCTGTCTCCTCTTCCATGGGTTCCCTGTGCTCTGATGCAGAGGACTTCTTCAGAGGGTACCTTACCATATGAAGACCCTACCTGTGAGCTCCTTCTGGCTGATGAGTCAGGCTGTCCCCATCCCCCCACCCCAGCACCTGCCATCTGGTTCCTCATCAGGTCCTCTGTCTGTTTCAGAATCTATAATAACTTGCCGGAAGTTAAAAAGAAAAAAGAAGAGCAAAAGAAAAGAGTGATCTTACAGAGTAACAGACTCCGAGCAGAAGTCTTCAAAAAGGTAGCTGCCTGGCATGCGCAGGCGTGACGTGGGTGGTGGGCAGAGGAGAAGGGGATCTTGACATCTTTGTGTGCCTCACTCCTCCAGCAATTACTGGACCAGCTCCTTCAGAGGAATGCAGTCTGATTCCAGGTGGCTCTGCTAGCCACAGCCTGGACCTGGGAAGACTTCTGACACTGGATGAACCATTAAACTAAACACTATCTTCGCACGTGAAAGATACTTTACTTTTGATTTTTTTTTTTTTCACTTTCTGAATGACCCAAACAAACAAAAGAAACAGTCCTGCAGTTATTAGGTCAGCAGACCATTGCCAGGACTTCTATCCCTCTGAACCTACTAGACATAGCCCCTTTTATTATTTGGTTTTGTTTTGGTTTTGCTTTTGAATTTTACCCAATGCTTCTGAAGTTTGCAGTATACCATTTCCACCCAAGAAGGAAAGCTTTATATTTTCAAGTATGCTTTGATGTGTTTTTTGGGAGAAATATTTTTTAAAATTTTTGAGAAGCAAAAATCTATCATATTTTAATTCCCAGTCCCAATGGCTGCCAGTTCTGAAATCCAGAGTATGGGTCAAAGTCTTTTTAGCACACTCATCTGAAGTACCAGAGGCTGACTTTAAAATGGACAGGTGAAGAGGCAGAGTGCAAGCAAGCCAGAGCGCCCTCTGCCTCTCTTCCACCCCACGGTTCCGCCTTTGCCAGCCAAAGCACTTGTATTAGTGGGAGCCTGAGATGACTGGGTGAGAACATCAGTGTTTTTATAGCACATGCTCTCTCTCTCTCTCTCTCTCTCTCTCTCTCTCTCTCTCTCTCTCACACACACACACACACACACACACACGCACGCACGCACCAGAAGTTATCTTGATCAAATGGCCTCTAGATCTCCACTCTTCTTTTTCCCAAGTATTCTCCATAAATATGTATTTGTGGAGTTAAGAACAAATTAGTTTTTGCAACAAAAATGGAAATAAATACAGTTATTTGAAATTCAAGCATCTCTCTGCAATGTATTCTGCTTAGTATGATAATACCTGATACAACCCTAGGTTGACACTGTGTCTCCCCCTACTCTACCTCTGGCCATTCTAAAAGTCATTGTGCTTCTGAATGCATGGCTGGGAGCATTGCCTCTCAGAGCTGGTGCAAGAGACACAGGGTTGCCTGTCTAGGCAGCATATAGAAGCCTGCCAACAAGGGGCGGGGCAGGAGCCCTGGTGACACCTCTGTCCCTATTGTGTGTATGTCTGTGTGTGCATATACAAATATGTGTGCTCCCATGTTCAGGTGTAGGTGTATGTGGGTACATGTTTGTTTACTTGAGGATGCCAGAGGGAAATCTTAGGTATCAGAGTTCAGGCACAATCCATTTCAAAAGAAACAAAACAAAAACTCATTGACCTGGAGTTTGCCAAATAGGCTGGGCTGATTGTCCTCTGAGCCCCAAGGATCTACCTGTCCCAGCCTCTTGAATTACAGAATGACTTTTAAACAAACAAACAAACTGGGTGGTGATGCTACACTCCTTTAATCCCAGCACTGGGGAGGCAGAGGTAGGCAGATCTCTTGGTCTACAGTGCACCTTCCAGGACAGGCAGGGCCACATAGAGAAACCCTGTCTTAAAAAAAAAAAAAAACCAACCAACCCTCCAAACAAACAAACAACAACAAAAATCATAGGCTGTGAGGAGCCAGCTCAGTTTGGTGTGCTTTCCCCATGCCATGGGCAAGCCATCTTCATCGACTAGAGTCTTCACTAGTGTGTCATCATGCCTGCCCTGCTCAGGGGAAGCGGGAAGCAGGGGACAGACCCACGAGGATCAGAGGCTCTGCAGTGGATGCCATTAATATCCTTTGCTCTGTGGCCTTGGACAGACATGCCTGCCAGCCAGCATCCAATCAGGAAAAAGAAAACCGGCAGTTATCTGGAAGGTTTAGTGGACTGAATTATTCACCATATAGAGCATTGCTTCTAGTAAGAAGCAGAGGCAGCTCTGAAGAGCCCAAGTAGCCACAGAAGTAAAGGCGCTGCTCTGAGAGGGTTCAGATGTGGCTGCATAGACAACAGAAGAGTGTTTGTACTGCCACACCTGTAGGACTTGCTGAAAATCCTCCCTCTGAGGCTTGCCAGAATCCTGCCCTGGAGATGTACAAGGTGAGCCCCTCTGCTACAGCAGCAGTAGGGAGAGGGGTGGTATGCAGGCTTTGCAGGGCCTGGCCCAGGTGCCTGCTGAGCTGTATCTCTCCAGCACTCCCTACTGACAAACTTGGGCATTTTCCAGCCGGCTAAGGGAAACTGTACAAATGACTGGAATCCATTTTAACTGAGCAGACAAAAAAAAAAAAAAAGGGTTGGTTGCTTTGGAGGTGAGAAGGGAGAGTACAATGAAGACCTGGCACAGTTGGTTGTTTAGCTTTGCCTCAGTTTCCTTAACTGCCAGATGCAAGTAAGTATAGTGCCTTCTTCATGCTGTTGCTATGGAAATAAAGTGGATGTGAGTGGAGTGTGTAGAAGGATGTCTGGCCCAAAGCAAATACACCATGAGTGTTTCCTGGCATAGACAGAGGTGGGAAGAGGCTCACATGGGCCATGAATTGGTCTAGAGGACTTGGCAGTGAGATGCTCCAAGAGGCCATTGAATTCATGGCTTTGCTGCACCTGGTCAATCCTGTAAGCAGGAAATTTCAATCATAAAATCTGGTTGGGGGTTGGGGAGGTGACTCCTGGGTAGAGCATCTCCCTAGACTTGAGAACCTGATTTCAGTCTCTGGAACCCACAGAGTAGGAGGTAGAGCTAACTCTCACAGCTTGTCCTCAGGTCTTTCTCCTCTCTGCACCATGGCATGTACATACCCACACACAAAGACAGTGAATTAATAAGTAAATAAATGCAAAATGTTTTTGAAAAAGTGAAGTTTGGTTAGCTGGTTTTAGATTTTTTTTTTTTTTTTTTTTTTTTTTTTTTTTTGAGATGCAGTTTCATGTAGCCCAGGCTAATTCTGAACTCTCCGTGTAACAGAGGCTGGCCTTGAACTCCCGATGTTCTCCATCCCTTCCCAAGCTTCTGGCTTCTTGTAAACTTACACATGCCCTCCATGTTCCTGTCACCTTGGGAACTACTTCAAAGCAGCTCAGCAAGGTGGTTTTATTTTTGGGTTTTATTTTGTGTGTGTGTGTGTGTGTGTGTGTGTGTGTGTGTGTGTGTGTGTGTGTACTGTTAGGGCCTCTTTGGGTGCTCCAGTGAATTCTGTGTACAGCTTAATTGCTTTTTAAAATATATACATTTTAAGTCAAACCTATGATAGCTAAGGACAGCCTCTCTTGGATGAAGATACTGAGACATCTGTCCTTACTTTTCTTTAGTATCTCAAGCATTTCCAAAGTTCTTCCCGTGCATTCCAATTCAGGGCCCAGCTGTTCCCAGACTGTTTGGTGATACTTAAGGAGGTAGGCTTGTGTTGGCTAACATTTTAAAGAAAAAATGCTAGATGAAACCAAATTTTGCAAGAGTTCATAAAACACTCACCTTCACGGCAGTCCTGCTGTGGAGACTTTGAATGTAAAGAAAGAAGAGTCACCCACAGATTGGTGACTCTGAGTGGCACTGAAAAGTAGTTGCTAAGGACACTTCTTTACTAAGGTCCCAGGGAGGGGAACCAGGTAGGAATAAGGGGTCTGGTGTGGGGGCCAGAACATTTCCTCTGGACCAGCTGGCTTAGCACAAGGACAGAACACCAAAATTTGGTTATTTTCTTATTATAGAAATTCTTGTCATGCTAATAAATGGATTTGATACAGTCTGAGCTTCTCTTCTGTCACAAAGTAATAACAGAAATAAATAATGTTACAATCAATGTGGGAATCAAGGCCTGCAGAATTAACGCAACTACTCCTTCCCTTCTTGAAGGAGCTGGCCACCATTTGCTGAGTCATTTTATTGGACTCAGACCTTAAGAAAAACTCTGAAGGATTTGGAAATTCTAAGTAGAATTTGCCATAGCAACTTCAATGAGCAAATTCTTCTCTGACAGTGGTTCCTTTGCATCTGAGCATGGTATGGGCCTAGACAGAGATGCAGCAGGCATGGCCCTGAGCCGGCTTGTAAGAAAAGATTCCCATGTCTGGACCAGGCAACATTTGAAATCCTTGGAGACGTCCAGGTGGTAAGAGAACTGGGCTGTCTCCTGGTGGTCCCCATGACTTCCTGTGGAAGGAGCAATTTCTATTGGGGTTATGCAGCCTGTCTGCCAGCTGGAATAATGGGAAAACAATTGTCTTGGCGCTTCAACCAAAACCTGTTGCCAACCCAGCTTCCTGGAAGTTGTGAGCTCCCTGGGTGAGTCAGCAAATGCTTGCTCAGGAGTGAGACTCTTTGAAAGAAGTACTTGTGAGGCAGCCAATCATGACAGAGTGGTGGAGATTTCTCTGTCTCACAAAGTCCACAATTTTCAACACTTACTGGCAAAAAAAAAAAAAAAAAAAAAAAAAAAAAAAAAAAAGAAAGAAAGAAAAAAAGAAAAAAATCAGGAATCAGGCAATGGAGCCAGCCTGGGAGTGTATCTGATGACCCACAGTCTGAGAATGAGGCACAAAGGATGCAGGGTGACAAGAAAGGGGAGGAGGCAGGATGTGTCTACTCAGGGAGGGTGATCTAATCATCAGTACATGAGAGTTCTGGGTCAATCAGCTAAGAATGTGGTAGAAAAATGACTGCTACAGGTTGATGGGAATGCATTTACATGCACTCTCAATACAAAGGAAGTGATCTATTAAGAGATTAAATGTGTCCATCAGCAGATTGTTCCATGTGATAGGGTTCCTCGAATTTGTACTTTCATCAAAATTGCCCAAAAACGTGTAGCTCTGTAGAAACCTTTGAAATCTGCCACCACGGGCAGATAGCTCATTCTGGGACTGGATCCCTTTGGATGTTCTCTCTCTTGTCTTGCCCCATGCTGGTGAGACATTGCTGGCTCATGCTGCTTGGGCAGACTGTGCAATAGCTCCTTGGGAGTCTATGGAGTCCCCTCCCCCACACCCTGTGGCTTGTTTTAGAGGGACAGGCCCCTGCATCAAGGTGGAATCTTAGTCACATGGACTGTAACAATGACAACTTTGCAAGTCTCTCTTCAAAACTCCAGGGCTTTTCTTCAAGTTGCATCCATTGTCTCAACTGAAGATTTAACCTGAGGTTCTCATCTGGAGTGTGCACAGAG